TTTATTTTAATTTTGTTATTTTAATTTTATTATTTTAATTTTATTATTTTATTTTATTATTTTAATTCATTTATTTTAATTTTGTTATTTTAATTTTATTATTTTAATTTACTCATTTCATTTCATTTATTTTATTTTTACTTATTTTATTTTTATTTATTTTATTTCATTTTTATTTTATTTTATTATTTTAATTCATTTATTTTGTTATTTATTTTGTTATTTATTTTATTTTATTATTTTGTTTTATTTTATTATTCTATTCTATTATTTTATATCTGTCTGTCTATCTATCTATCTATCTATCTATCTATCTATCTATCTATTTATTTATTCAGTATTTTATAAATCAATAAACTGTCATAAGTACATGCCAGTTGCCAAGGAAAGGCTCGAATTTTCACCCCATCGTCATGGGAAGGTTGCAACGGTCAGAGGTGTCGGAAAAACAGCCGTAAGTCACTTTTTCAGTGCCGTTGTAACTTTGCCCGGTCCTTATACAGAGAGTTCTTAGGTAGAGGACTGCCTCTTAGAGCCACCTGGCTAGAACCTGGAAGAGCTGAGTTCTAATCCTGCCTTAGGCACGGATCCTGGCTGAGTTTGGACCGGTGTTTCACGCTTAGTGCCAGGAAGAAGGAATAGCAGGGCAGAGAAACCACTTTGCATGCTGTGAGGAAACGGCGCCGGGACTTGCCCAGACAGCTGCCCAGAATCAAGGCTGACTGGAAGCTTGCAGAAATTCTGGAGACTAAACCAGAGGAAGAACGGTTGCAGGATTTGGGTTTGGCTAGTCTAGAGAAGGGCCAGGAGAGGGGAAAGGAGGAGAGGGAAGGGAAGCAAATTCATGAGAAGGAAAGAGGGTAAAGGGAAAAAGAAAAGGAAGAAAATAAATGGATGAAGGGAAGGGAAGGAGAAAAAGAAAGGAGAAAAGGAAAGGAGAAAAAGAGAGAGAAGGGGAAGGGAATATGGAAGGGAATGGGAGGAGAGGAAGCGAAGAAGAAAATAGATGAAAAAAAGGAAGGGGGAAAAGGAAAAAAGAAAAGAAAGAAGAGAAACAGATGAAGAGAAAGGGAAGGAAAAGAAAAGGGGAATAGCAGGGAAGGAAATATGGGAGGGGAGGAAGGGAAGGGAGTAAATGAATAAAAAGGGAAGGTCGAAAAGGAAAAAAAAAGAAAGGGAAGAAAATAAAATAAATGGATGAACGAGGGGAGGAAAGGA